GCGTGTGCGTGTGCGTGCGTGTGCGTGTGCGTGCGTGCGCGCGTGCGTGCGCGAATGGGAATGCGATTGCATATGCTCATGCGTATGTAGCGATTATCTGATCGCAGCGAGGGATCCCCCGTACCATTTGCGTCGGACAGTGAGTTGCGCCGCCCCTGACTACCTGTCTACGCGCTCAGTCATTCGCCAACTATTTCCTGTTATAATTCAAAAACTAATCTTCTGACAACATTTTCGCAAAGGAAAAATCGTCTTAGAATTAAGTCAGGAATACGACATTTCAAGGACACTATGTTCATTTTGAATCACCCTGTATATTTGTTGTATATGAGTTATAATTATGTTTCTAATTTATTTGATTTGTGTTTAGATTTGTATTTCATCTATATGCCAAACGGAATGCATAAGTCCACTGAAGCATGCGATGCAATTGAGGAGAGACATGATCGCGGTTGCATGCGAGACACTGAATAGATTATTTTCGACGAATGAAGATAGACTTGTTAAACAGGTAAAGAGAAAACTTGTATAATTCAAGTACATATACTGCATTCAAAACTATTAATATAATATTGCTGTAGGCATTAGATGCCGAGATGGTACCATATCTCTTAAATATATTAGAAGGACGATTAGATATTGTTGAAAATCCTGCCACAACCAAAGCACAAATAGTAAAAGCTTTAAAAGCCATGACAAAAAGTTTACTTCTCGGTGAAAAAGTTAATGCCATTTTGGAAAAGTCGAGTGTATGGGCAGAGTATAAGGATCAGCGACATGATCTGTTTATTTCGAATAATACCATTTCTGGTTATCTGACAGGTATAATATATGTGAATAACTTGAATGTATTCTTGAATATTCTTTTTACCAAATTTTCTTTACCATTTCTTGATTGTTATTTAGCTGGAACACCAGTATCTGCTGGCTATTTAACTGCAGGGCCAAGTACTACTTTGACCACGGGCCCACCACCAGTAGAAAAAGACGATAGTTTAATTAATAGAAACGATAGCACCTGATATAGATAATATTGTAAGTGGTACAAAAGGCAGTAAAAACATTAATATTGAGAGATTCCTATCGGTAATACCGATATAGAGACTATATTGTCTGTGATTTTTGGCTTCTTAAAAAGAAAGAAATTTATTAATTAAATATATTGTTTTTGCTATGTAATCTGAATGTTAAGGTTACAAAATATAATATTTTGTTCTTTGTTTACGTTTATATGAGAACGATAGTAATGTAGCTATAAATATTAATTATCAGTTTTTAAAGATAACATAAGTATATATAAGTAAAATTATAATATATATATTCCTCTTAAGATACAAAAGAATTTCTACATATATACACAAACATATATACATACCAATCACACGCGCGAGCATGTATATATGTGTATGTATATTACCAAATAAGTCTTTGGACACATTTTTTTATTTTATACGCAATAGTGTCGTAATATGAGATCTTGTCACTTTTCTGATAAACGAATTTACATTTGTAAGTTCGTCTGTAAAACGTTTCAGAAATAAGAATGAAATTTGATAATATTGACACGTTTAAAATTGACTTTTTCTTTCATAAAAATCAAAGTGAAGAAATAATTATCGGTTAATAAAGCTTAGTAATGTCATGCTTTTTCTGATATTTTTTGGTATTTAATCGTACGGTTGGCATTTCTTATTTATGGCCCATTTCTAAGCTTAGTTGGCGGTTAATTACATTTTTACTTGAATTTTTATTAAGCAAAGATTGATAATACAAAGAGAAAAATTTATTTTATTAGGTGTGTCGGAAAGTTCCGTCCATCTAGCGGCGAATAGCTATAGCTAGAACTGTCGATAACTCTAATGTCTAAACTAAGCTTAATTTTTTAGTTTTACTATCTGTCAATAAAATTCAGTATATAAAAGTATACGTTTGCATCAATAACATTGCTTTTTACTGCATCGAAAATGTCGACATTTGAGCCAAATAAGCGTCATTTGCGCGAAGTGTTAATCTTTTACTTCAAATGGAAGAAAACTGCAGCTGAAGCTCATCGAATGTTTGTAGAAGTTTATGGTGATAGTGTTCCTTCCGATATAACAGAGAATGGTTTCGACGCTTTCAAAGTGGTGATTTTGATGTGGAGAATAAAGAGCGTTCTGGATGGCCAAAAGCATTTGAAGACGAAGAATTGCAGGCATTGGTGGAGGAAGATCCGTGTCAAACGCAAAAACAACTTGCAGAAACATTAAATTATGCTCGATCTGTTATTTCCGATTGTTTGAAAGTCTTGGAAAAGATCTACTAGGAAGGAAAGTGGATCCCATATGAACTAAAGCCAAAAGATATTGAAAGGCGAAAAACCACCTGCGAAATTCTGCTTGCTAGGCAATAAAGAAAGGGATTTTTGCACCGAATTGTGACCATGGACACAGTATAACCATACCCAGTAGCGACACTAGCCGGTTTGACTTTAACCAAATTTCAGTACGCATGCATGAATTTGTACATTTAACAATATGGATGCGTCCAGAGTACACACATTACAGGTAACCTCAATTTACAGTTTCATGACGGGGTGCTTTCCAGCAAGGACGGAATCAGACACTGTGTAACACAGAGAATCGTTTCATCCTTGTTTAACATAGGTAAACAATAAGGATGTAATGATTCACTATGTAAAGCCAGCGGCACACGGTGCTTGTTTTCCTGCTGGATTGCTAGCTAGATCAGATTCTTGCCATCGGATTGGCCGCGATATTGGCACTTTCAGCACCGCAGCCAATACGGTGGCAAGATTCTAATCCAGCTAGCAATCCAGCAGGAAAACAAGCACCGTGTGCCGTAGGCTTTACACTGTGTCTACTTGTGTCGTAGCTGGAAAGCACCCCATGTTCTTCGTGTGGCTTCCGTTTCTTGAAATTAATAATAATAATAAATTAATCGTTATTTTACTAGAAAAGAGTGATATAATCATCATTAAAATGCCTACCTGATATTAATGAAGAAGAACTTTATTACCTTCAAACATACAAAGCCTAAGAAGGGGGCTTGGTTTACAGTTTATCTATCTATCCTCACACATCCATCCATACTCTGCTCTCGTGTATATTTCCTCTTTATCCTAGTTTACTCAACTAGCCTTCATTTATCTATTAGCATAATACGTTACAACCTTTCCTCTCTTACCTATTATCTATTTAATTTATCAATTCCTCCTTGCAAATTGCAAAAAATTACCTCTCTAGTCATTCTTGTATTCCTAACTCGTTTCCTTGCTTCACAATTCTATCCTTTTCTATTCCTTATTCTATTTTATTCTATTTCTCGTAGCTACTCTTTCGCTTTTAAATCCGTACATGAAGTCTATATTCATACCTATTCATAATCCTATTCATTCCTATTCATAATCCTACGCCTCACTCTATCAATCAACTTATCTATGTATACCTTTTACTCACGCTTTCTTTATAAATTTACTTCGCCTAACTATTTGCATAGAATTTCCTTTCTAGCCATTCCTGTATATTCCTGGCTCGTTACTTTGCCTCACATTTCTATCCTTTTCAATTCTTGTTCCATTCCTCGCCGCATTTCTTCCTCTTTTAAATCTGTAACTTTTACTCACGCTTTCTTTATAAATTTACTTCGCCTAACTACTTGCACAGAATTTCCTTTCTAGTCATCCCTGTATATTCCTGGCTCATTACCTTGCCTCACATTTCTATCCTTTTCAATTCTTGTACCATTCCTCGCAGCTTTTCTTCCTCTTTTAACTCTGTAACTAAAATCTGTATTCATACACCTATATCTAAAAACTAAATCTATCTTTTATTCTAATTTACTCGACTAACCTCCATTCATCTATTTGCGTTATACATAAAACCTTTTCTCTCTTACCTATTATCTTCTTAATTTATCATTTCAAACAATCAACTCACTCATAATCCTACACCTCGCTCGATCAATCGACTTATCTAAACATACCTTTTACTCATTCTATTCCTCGTAACTTTTCTATTCTCTTTTAAATCCGTAACAAAAATCTATATTCATACCTATATCTAAAACTAAATCTACATTTGATGTTATTCTGCCTTAAGCATTTTCTTATCCAGAAATTCTTCGTGTATCCTTGTCCCCATCACGTCTTCATCTCCATTCCTTATTCTTTGTCCTCTTTATTCGAACCTTTTTAAAATGTCCCATAACTTGCCTCTTATTTACTTGTACCTCTCCATCGCCTTATGTTTTCCTGCCTTATGCATTTTCTTCTCCAGAAATTCTTGTCCTTACCTCCGTCTCGTCTTCCTCGCCATTTCTTGTTCTTTGTCCTCAATATTCGAACCTTTTTTAGAATGTCCCATAACTTGCCTCTTATTAGGGTTGGATTATACTGGCCGTAATCTGTTAACTTATGCCGTAATCTGTAAAAATTGACCAATTATAATCGATTATTCCCCTCTCATTCGACTGTGATTGGTCAATTTTTACAGATTACGGTATAAGTTAACAGATTACGGCCAGTATAAATCAACCTTTACTTGTACCTCTCCACCGCCTTACATCACGAAACGGCCTGTGAACTTTCGTAACTCCTATTACCGTTTTCCTTTTTTTCTTTACGTCGAAAACCTTATTACAACGTTATTTTCTTGCGTTGCCGCCTCCTTATCTGAACCTCGTTTTCTGGTCCAATCCTTATGAATACATCCTCCTTTTCCTCTAACTATTCTCTTCTTACCTCTGCCTTATACATTATATCGAACACAGGAGATATTATACTTTTTGCGATATAATCGTGATACTCTTATGCAATTCTTTCCATATTCCGAAGATCATGTTTTCTTCATCCTTTATAATCACATTACTATTCCATTCTTGATCCTTCCCTGTACATTCTTGCCTTAAATTTTGATATTGCCCGTACATTTCCTTTTCCTCTTCTCCTGGCTCATCCTCTTCACCTTTTTCGTTCCTATCTGAAGTTATATCCGCATCATTGACCTCTGCAACCAGTTACTTTTGCCTAGGATCTGTCCTTCCTTTTCCCGCTTTTTCCGCCGTACCAGTCGCGTCCCTCGGCAATATAACATCCTATTTACCTCTTACATTCCTAATTCCTTATCCTACACTTTACAAAACTCCTTTCCTACACATACCCTATACAATCTCATTTAAACCTTCACGTACACACCTTCTCTTTTACTTAAAACTGACCTATTTAATTATTATCGTACAAAACATCGCAGTCCATCTCAACATACATACGCTCACATGCACGCCACCTAACCAAGTCCACCTGATATTAATGTATTTTCTTCAGATTTATCACTCAAATTGAATGTTGCATATTTATTAAAATATTTTTTTAATTATATTTATACGTACATATGAAGACACAAATAATCTAACACCCGATATTGCATGTATATTACAAAATAAAAGAAATAAGAAGTAATGAGAAGACATGAAAAGGGATGAGAAGGTTCTTGTTCTTGTGTTATATTTCCGTGCACGTTTTAATCGCAGCGCCGATACATTTAACAATATGGTGGTATACCACGTGACCTGGAACCTACTACATCAAAGGTGCCGACACTCAGGCCGGTATTCATAGTCAGTTCTTATTTGAAGACTGTCTTAAGTAATGTCTTATGGGCCTTCTACAATAAGCCATAAGTCATAAATCAGAAGTCAGAAGCTAGTTGCAAACGAGTCAGTAATGCGTCATAAGATAGTAATAAGTCGGTAATCTGTGACCGAGTGGAGATGGCCAAATTCCATCTCTTCTGACTTACAGCTTATGATTACGTTATGACTGACCAATCAAAAAGCAGTATGTGTCTGCCATTTCTTACGAGAAAACCGATTTCGTATAACCTAAAAACTGAATCGAGAATATTTTGATCGAAGTGATTTATATTGTATTAAAAATGGAATATGAATGTATACAAGAAATTTATGACATGGAACTCATCAAACTTGTCGAATTTAATTGATGAATCTAATTACTGAACTGTTATGATGCAACGACCTAATACGACTTAT